CCTCCCTCCCTCCCTCCCCTCCCTCCCTCCCTCCCTCCTCCCGCTCCCTCCCTCCCGCTCCCGCTCTCCCTCTCCCCGTCCGTCCGTCCGTCTGTCTGTCTGACACTTGGAGTGACCCATAACATAAAGCATCACTCCCTGCCAGCGTGCACTCACTGCCAGCATGCGCGCGTGGTGCTTGGCGAAGATGGCGAGCATGGCGTGGCGGTGCGCCCGCAGCATGTCCTCCTCACTCGCCACGCGCTGCACAGTGCACGCTGATGATGGCCCGCCCTCTTGCCATGGTGGCCCCGCCTCCTGCCATGGTGCCACCACACCCGCGCCGCCAAGCCACACAGTGCAACAAGGGGCAGCGATATAATGACTTCACTTCTCAGACCGCATCCCATGCATTCTGAGACCCTCCATGGTCGCCCATGCGGGGGCCAGTGCGTGCAACGAGCGATGCAGGACGCGGAACGGAGGGGAGGGGAGTAGCGGGTTGCAACGAACCTTGGAGGGGACAGAGGGGGGCCCAGGGGGCAAGGAGAGGAGGGCAGCGTGCCTGCGCTCGCACTGACTGGGACTGCGATACACCCCCTGGCAACACACACACACACACACACACACACACACACACACACACACACACCCACGCACAGACACACATGCACCCACAACAAAGGCACACTGTGAGGTGCGTGATGGCTCACAGTGCGTGATGGCTCACTGTGAGGAGCGTGATGGCTCACTGTGAGGTGCGTGATGGCTCACTGTGAGGTGCGTGATGGCTCACAGTGAGGTGCGTGATGGCTCACAGTGAGGTGCGTGATGGCTCACTGTGAGGTGCGTGATGGCTCACTGTGAGGTGCGTGATGGCTCACTGTGAGGTGCGTGATGGCTCACTGTGAGGTGCGTGATGGCTCACTGTGAGGTGCGTGATGGCTCACTGTGAGGTGCGTGATGGCTCACTGTGAGGTGCGTGATGGCTCACTGTGAGGTGCGTGATGGCTCACTGTGAGGTGCGTGATGGCTCACTGTGAGGTGCGTGATGGCTCACTGTGAGGTGCGTGATGGCTCACTGTGAGGTGCGTGATGGCTCACTGTGAGGTGCGTGATGGCTCACTGTGAGGTGCATGATGGCTCACTGTGAGGTGCGTGATGGCTCACTGTGAGGTGCGTGATGGCTCACTGTGAGGTGCGTGATGGCTCACTGTGAGGTGCGTGATGGCTCACTGTGAGGTGCGTGATGGCTCACTGTGAGGTGCGTGATGGCTCACTGAGGTGCGTGATGGCTCACTGTGAGGTGCGTGATGGCTCACTGAGGTGCGTGATGGCTCACTGTGAGGTGCGTGATGGCTCACTGTGAGGTGCGTGATGGCTCACTGTGAGGTGCGTGATGGCTCACTGAGGTGCGTGATGGCTCACTGTGAGGTGCGTGATGGCTCACTGTGAGGTGCGTGATGGCTCACTGTGAGGTGCGTGATGGCTCACTGAGGTGCGTGATGGCTCACTGTGAGGTGCGTGATGGCTCACTGAGGTGCGTGATGGCTCACTGTGAGGTGCGTGATGGCTCACTGTGAGGTGCGTGATGGCTCACTGTGAGGTGCGTGATGGCTCACAGTGAGGTGCGTGATGGCTCACTGTGAGGTGCGTGATGGCTCACAGTGAGGTGCGTGATGGCTCACTGTGAGGTGCGTGATGGCTCACTGTGAGGTGCGTGATGGCGCGCAGCACATCGGTGACGAGGCGCCAGTTGGTGCCCAGGTCGCTCACCACCGCCACCAGCACCTGCCAGGGGCACGGCCAGGGTGGAGCGGGTGGGATGAGATGGGCACCGGCGCAAGGGATGGAGCAAGGGAAGGGGGGCAATCTGCAACACAAGGCAGGCCACGCCCTGCCCGCACCTGCTCCTCCCTGCCCGCACCTGCTCCTCCCTGCCCGCACCTGCTCCTCCATGGCAGACCACGGCAGCCCGCCATCGCCGCCATCCGCACCGTCAGCAGCATCGCCAACATCACCATGGTCAGCGCGGGGCGGCGAGAGGCTGAGCACGTCCCCATGGGCGAGCGCCAGGGGCAGCGCGCCTGCTGCCCCCGCTTGGTGGGGCGCAGGGCCGGGCAGAAGAGCATCTGGGTGCGATGGCGGGGTGAGCTGGAGCGGGGAGTGCAGGGTGTGAGGGCCACGGGAAGGGCGAGGTAGCATTGGAGAGAGTTAGAGAGAGAGAGAGCATGGAAGGGAGGGGCAAAGGGAGGGAGAGAGTGCCACAGACGCATGTCTTGCTATCACATGTCTTGCTATCACATGTCTTGCTATCACATGTCTTGCTATCACATGTCTTGCTATCACATGTCTTGCTATCACATGTAATGCTATCACATGTCTTGCTATCACATGTCTTGCTATCACATGTCTTGCTATCACGCCTCACCCTGTGCCGCTTGCTGCCGTTCCTCTTCACGTCCCTGCTGCTGCCACCACCTGCCCCATCCCTCCGCCCACCCACCTCGCTCGCATGGCCCCCAGCCCCCCCCACATGGTCCAGCCATGCCTCTGCATCCATGCCATCGCCCTCCGCGCTCCCCCCCTCCCCCCCCTCTGCCTGCCCCTGCCTGAGCGCCACAGCGTGCACATGCGCCTGAGGCGGCAGCGGGGGCGTGCCAGCAGCAGGAGGCGGCATGGCTTGCTTGGCGGCTGGGGGAGGGTGGGAGGGGCGGAAGGGAAAAGGAGAGGCATGGGGAAGGGGAGGGGCAGCACAAGGCAGGTCTGCTGCAGTCCCACATTTCACAAGGCAGGGCTGCTGCAGTCCGCATTGCACAAGCCTTCGAGTGGGAAGGGAACATGATGGTCACAAGTGCCTCAAGTGCTTTGCTAGGGAGCAACGGCTTTGCTAGGGACGGCCACAAGTGCCTCGGCATGTGAAGCTTGAGCGGGAGTGGCAGCAGCATGGCAACGAAAGGCACGGCGCTCTGAGAGCAGCAGGTGCCAAAGACAGTGCGAAGCAGCAGCGCCCACCTGCCATTTCACCCGTGGCTGGCATGATGCCAGCAGCAGCACGAGACGGGAGGGCAGGGCAGCCAGAGCGTGCAAGTGCGACCTTGGTAGCAGCAGGGGGGCCCTTGGGCTTGCGCTGTGCTGAGGGTCGCTGGCGCTGCTGGCAGCGATGGGGAGGAGAGAGAGCAGAGGCAGGGAGGACATCAGAGGCAGGGAGGACATCAGAGGCAGGGAGGAGACGGATGGTGAAGAGGACACGGATGGTGAAGAGGACATGGATGGTGAAGGACGAGGTGACTGCCTCGGCACTACACACGCCCTGCATGAAGCACACGCCCTGCATGAAGCACACGCCACTGCAGTCTGCAGGCCACTTGACTCTACCTTGCCAGCAGCAGCAGCATCTGCCCCTGCTGGTGCTGCTGCTGCCCCCCCAACACTGCCTGCACCACCGCCGCCACCACCACCACCCGCGCTGCCTGCACCACCGGCGCCACCACCACCACCCGCGCTGCCTGCATCGGCATCACCACTGCCAGCCCCCACCTCCTGTGCGCCACCTCCCCCTCCCCCTTCAACCACACCCCCTCGTGCCACTCCCATCCCCCCCTGGCCCCCCGCCTTGCCCTCACGCAATTGCTGCTCCCTGCCCTCCCCCTGCCAATCGCCCCTCTCGCCTTGCGCGCCCTGGGGGGATGCCGCAGGGGGCCCACTGCTGCTGGCAGTGCTGGTGCGCGCCATGGTGGACGGAGGGCCAGAGGAGCCAGGGGCCAACCCCCCTGCCGCGGCCTCCTCAATTGCCGCCATCCCCTGCCCTTGCTTCTCTGCCGCACCACCAACACCCCCTCTCTCCCCCACCCCCAACCCCTTCCCCTTCTGCCCGCGCCCCTCCCCCTGCTGCTTCTGCCCCTTGCCCCCCCTCCCCATTCCCCCCATCCTACCCCCGCCCAGCCCCCTCCCTGCCCCTCCTCCCCTTCCTCGGCCCTCCCCCCCTCCCTTCGTCCCTGCTCCCTTCACGCCCTGCCCTCTGCCCAGCCCCCCTCTGCACATCGCCCCTCTGCCCGCCCCTTTACCCCCTGCCTGCTGTGGTCCCTCGCCTGCCCCCCCTGCACCCGTGCCCAGCCCCTGCGTCTTCTCTCCCCCCGGCGGCCCCTCTGCCTCCTGCCTTGCTGGCATCGCCTCCCCCACTCCCTGCAGCCCTGCTCCGCTCCCCTGACCCCCCACTCTCGCACCAATCATCCCGACCAAGTCCCCACTATCGCCCCCTCCGCTGTCCCCTTCGCCTATCGCTTCCCCGTGCTGCCCTGCGCTTACTGCCGCCTGCCCTGCCTGCTGCTCCGCTGCCTCACCTTCCATGCCCTCGTCTCCGCCCATCCCCCTCGCCTTCAGCTGCCCCACCACCTGCTTCCTCTCCTGCTGCTGCATCAGCGCCCGCTGCTTCACCTGCGCCTGCTTCCTTGCCTGCTGCTGCTGATGCTGCTGCTTTGCCACGCCCTGCTGGCCTCTGTGAGCTGCACTCGCACCTCCCTGCTGCTGCACCTGCCCGTGCGCCCCCACCACCATCTCTCCCACACCACTCCCCCCTTCTTCCCCCGCCCCCCTCGCCTTCCACTGCTTCTCACCCCATCCCTCCGCACCGCCCCTTGCACCCCTCACTCCCCCCACAGCCTCGCCTTCCCTCTCCCCCACTCCCCTCCCTGTGTCCACACCCACTCTCTCCACGCCCCCACCCAGACGCCCCTCTGCACCCACCGCTGTCCCCCTGCCTGTCCCCACTGGGCCATCTAAAGTAGACGCAGGCGCAGCAGCAGGAGGGGGCGTCATGGGAGGGAAGGGCGAGGTGGTGGGAGCGAGGATGGGGGCCGAGGAATTGGGTTGTGATGAGAGGTGATCCGCGGGGGACGCGTGGAGGGAGGGGAGGGGGTGAGAGGGGGAGGGGGAGAGGAGGAAGTCGGGGAGGGGGAGAGTGAAGGTGTGAGGGGCAGAGGCGGGGGGAAGCGCCATGTGGTCCTGCACGGCAGGGAGGGACGGGGGAGGGCGCAGCAGGAGGAATGCAGGTGAGGCATGGATGCAAGGGCAGGAGGAATGCAGGTGAGGCATGGGTGCAAGGGCAGGAGGAATGGAGGTGAGGCATGGGTGCAAGGGCAGGAGGAATGGAGGTGAGGCATGGGTGCAAGGGCAGGAGGAATGGAGGTGAGGCATGGGTGCAAGGGCAGGAGGAATGGAGGTGAGGCATGGGTGCAAGGGCAGGAGGAATGGAGGTGAGGCATGGGTGCAAGGGCAGGAGGAATGGAGGTGAGGCATGGGTGCAAGGGCAGGAGGGTGGGGCGCGAGAGGAGAGAATGAGGGGGGCGAAAGGAGAACGAATTCGGGTGATTAGTCGGACGGAGAGCAAGTGCAAGGGGGCAAGGGGGTCTTACAGGGGCGGAGATGAGGGCGGGTACGAGCCATTGAGCGAGAGCAATGGCGGCGGGTTGAGGCATGGGAAAGGTGAGAGGCGCCTGCAGACAGAGGGGGTGAATGGGGGGGGGAAGGGAAGGAAGGAGGACGAGATGCAAGGGAGGAGACTGAGGCGAGTGGGAATGATGAGGGAGGCGGCTGGAAGATGCATGCAGGTGGTGCCATGGCGCGTGGCACATGGCGCATGGGGCATGGGGCATGGGGCATGCCGCATGGGGCATGCCGCATGGGGCATGGGGCATGGGGCATGGGGGGGCATGGGGCATGGGTTAAGGGTGTGGGGCATGGAGCATGCGGCGTGGGGCATGGGGCATGGAGCATGGGGCATGAGAGACGTGCGATGGTGGGGGCTGGCAAGAGTTCACAGCACGCTGCCACCAGCCTCATCCTCTCAGCACCGCACCTCATCCACCCACGACCACCAGTCGCTGCACGTCATGTCCGCCCCTCTGCTCTCCTCCCTCTCCGGCGTTACTGGTGCCCTCGCCCCTCTCTCGGCGCCTCCTCCCTTCCCTGCCCCTCTACCCCCTGCCCCTTCCCCTGCCATCTCCACGTGCAGCCTCGTCGTCCTGTCCACGCCATCACGCCTCCTCTCCTCTCTCTTCCGCTGCCTCTCCCCACCCTCGTCGCCTGCTTTGCCTTCTGCGCCTCCCTTCACCTTCTCCCCGCCAATCCCTCCAGCCACAGCATCAGCGCCTTGAGCCCGCACAGGCAGGCCGGGGGTAGGCAGGGGGCCATGGGCAGAAGAGGGGAGCCGTTCAGCCGCAGCAGCAGCAGAGGGAGAGGCAGCAGCAGCAGCGGCTCTTAAACCTGCCTCCCTTCCGTCCTCTCTCTTCTCCTCGCCCCTCTGCACTCCCATCTCCCCGTCCCCTCCGCGCCCATCCATCTGCTCACGCCCCTCCCTCTCCGCTTCTGCCCTCCTCCCTCCCCCCCGAACCTCCCTCAGCGCGCATGCGGCCATGTGACTCGCGGCTGCCCGCTTCCACAGCCGCTCCTGCCACACACGCAGGGTGGGGTGGGGATGCAGAGGGGGGTAGGGGTGCGGGGTAGCATGGGGCAATGCGAGGGAGGAGAGGGAACGGACTGGTGGTTGTGGGCAGAGAGGGAAGTGGCGAAGCAGCACATAGCGTGCACGTGAGAGGAGAGGCGAATGGATAGGACGAGAGGCAAGAAGAAGGGCGGACGAGAGGCAAGGAGGAACAGCGTGGGGAGGGCAAGGGGTGGGAGGGGCGAGGGAGTGCAGAGCCGTGGTGGGCACCTGTTGGAAGTCGTGCGCCAGCCATGCCATCTCCTGCACCACATAGTCCCAGTGGCTGCTCGCCCCTGCGCGCACCCTCCACGTGTCTCCTCCCCCCTTCTCCCCACTCTTCTCTCCCCTTCCCATCCCCCTCCATGCGCCCTCTGTGCCCGCCTCTGCGCTGCCAGTGCCACCAGGGGTGGCGGCTGGGGAAGCTGCCCCCAGCAGGCGCCGATTGGCCTGACGAGGGGCGGTGGGGGTAGGGGCGGTGGGGGTAGGGGCGGTGGGGGTAGGGGCAGAAGGAGTGATGGGGATTCAGTGAGCATGCGCCCCGCCACAGCACGCCCCGCCACAGCACGCCCTGCCGCCACACCTCTCACACCGCCCGCATTTCCGGACTTACCCAGATGCCTTCAGCCTCCTCTAAGACGCACTCCTCATGCGCCCTCGCTGCCGCCGCTGCCAGCTCGCCCTGCCGCCGCCTCTCCTCCTCCTCCGCCCGCCTCCCCTCCCACACGTGCCGTGCCACCCACTCCCCCGCCTCCCCCACCCGCCCCATTCCTCCTCCTCCTGCCCCCCCAACCCCTTCCGCCCTTCCTCCTCCCCCGCCCCATCCAACCCACCCTGCAGCGCCTGCTGCTGCGCGCACAGCCACACCCACACTCCCACGCCCCCCTCCCATCCCGCCTGCCACTGCCATTGCCTCCCCTCCTCGCCCCCCACTCCCCCCTGCCCCACCCCCCTCGCCCCAGGCCTCTGCCCCCAGTCCCCCAGCCCGCTCACCCTCGAGGTCTTCAGGCATGAGGGAGGCGAGCGAGGGCAGCGAGGGCAGGGAGGGCAGGGAGGGCAGCGAGGGGGCGAGGGCGGAGGGCGAGGCGGCGAGGGCGGAGGAGGAGGAGACGGTGGGGATGGGGACGGAGGAGGGGTCGGGCATGGGGATGGGCACGGGCACGTGGGACAGGGGCGCGTGGGGGGAGGCCATGTGGGGGGGCTGCTCCATGACCAGCAGGCCCAGCGGGTCTCGCGACGCCATAGGCGCATGGCGCCCTGCCCTGCCCTCGTGACCGTTGCTTCCCCTCCGCCCCCCCTCACTGCTGCCATCCCCAGCCATGTCTTCACGCCATACTGACCCACTCCCATCCCCACCACCACCACCACCGCCACTGCCACTGCCACTGCCACCGTGAGTCGCATCCCCCAGGTCTCTACTGTTCCGTGAAGCGTCCACTACCTCCTCCTCCTCCCTCCCCCTCTTCCTCCCTCGCTCCATCCCCCCCATGCCTGCCCACCGCCCATCCCCTCCTTCCGCCCCCTGGCCCCTCTCCTCCATTGCCCCCTCCCCTCCATCCCTGCCTCCCCTGGACCCCCCTCCACCCCCCTGCCCCGCGCCCTGCGGCCCTGCTGGCGCGCCACTGGCGGGGGGGCTGGTGGGGAGGGTGACTTCAACCGGGATGGGAGCGCCCGAGAGGGAGGTCGCGAGGGGGCGGGGGCGGAGGGCGTGGGGCGGCAGGGAGGAGTGCAGCGCGGCGAGCATGTGTTCGTGGGAGTGCAGCAGCGCCTGCAGAGGCGCGCCCACCTGCAGGTCCACGTGCACACAGCTCGCCTCGTCCACGCCCGTGCAGGGCGGGTGGGGCGTGGGCGCGTGGGTGCCTTCATCCATGTCCACACACACCACGTCAGCCGTGCCATCATCGTCATCATCACCATTAACATCAAAGTTATCCCCATCAACAACATCATGCACAGCGGCATCATCATCATCATCACTGGCAGCACCATCCACATGAGCAGCATGACGCCCAACAGCTCCTCCCGCCCCCCTCCCCTCCACTGCACCATCCCCGGCACCCACCTCCCGCGCATGCACCCCCTCCCCGCCCACAACCACCTCCTCTTCCCCCATCCTCCCGCCTCCTACACCACCCCCTCCCTCCGCGCCTTCTCCCTCTCCCTTCCAATCCCCCACCCCTTGCTGCCCCGACCGCGCAATTCCCTCCGCCACCTCCCTCTCCTCCCGTGCCTCTGCATCGGCCCCAGCTTGCTCCCTCGCATGCTCCGCGGCAGGGCTGCTGGCAGAGCAGTGTGCGAACAGGGGAGCAGAGGACGGGAGACGTGAGCGAGGGGAGAGGGGCTACATGCGGCAGCGAGGGGACTGAGGGTTAAGAGCGGAGCGGAGGCAGCGGAATGGACGAGGCAGCATTGACAGGGACCATCGGAATGGACGAGGCAGCATTGACAGGGACCATCGGAATGGACGAGGCAGCATTGACAGGGACCATCGGAATGCGCGTGACTGGAATGGGTGGGCTCACGCACTAACACTGGGCCTGCGGATGGGCCATGGGGTGGTTGACTCGCACCTGGCGCACGGCGGACGGTTGACAGTGGTGCGCGCAGACGGGGAGGGGGAGCGCGAGGGGGAGGGAGAGGAGGGGGCGGAGAGCGGAAGCAGGAGGGGGGAGGGCAGGCGGGCGGAGAAGGGGAAGTCGAACACGTCCCCGCCCTGAGAGGGGTGGGGGGGGGGGGGGCGAGTGGGGGGGGGAGAGAGGAGCATGAGAGCAGGTCAAGGCAGCAGCAGAGGCAGCACAGCACAGCACAGCACAGCACAGCACAGCACAGCACAGCACAGCACAGCACAGCACAGCACAGCACAGCACAGCACAGCACAGCACAGCACAGCACAGCACAGCACAGCACAGCACAGCACAGCACAGCACAGCACAGCACAGCACAGCACAGCACAGCACAGCACAGCACAGCACAGCACAGCACAGCACAGCACAGCACAGCACAGCACAGCACAGCACAGCACAGCACAGCACAGCACAGCACAGCACAGCACAGCACAGCACAGCACAGCACAGCACAGCACAGCACCGCACAGCACAGCACCGCACAGCACAGCACAGCACAGCACAGCACAGCCCTTCAGCAACGATGAGTCACATGCTCTCACCCCCACGTGCTCACATCGTCATTATCACACCTCGCTGCTCTCACCTCTTCCAGGAATCGCAGCAGTTCCGCCGCACACGCGCTGCGATCGTCGCCCGCCAGTGCGCTGCTGGCGCCGGGGGGGGAGGAGGGAGGGAGGAGGAAATAGAGGGGGGAGGACGGAGAGGGCGGAGCGAGGAGAGCGTGAGACGGGTTGCTCGCAACGGCGGGATCTGCGTGGGAGTCGTGGGGAAGGGGTTGCAATGGTGCGGTAGCAGCGGCACATTCAGGTTCCGACTTGCGGGATTAGGGTTACGGATGTGTTTTGAGGCGCCTCAAAACTGGACGGTCGCCGGCGCACGACCGAGCTGGCAGCGAAAGAGGGACCAGCGGCACGGCGCGGGGCGGTGCGCCAGCGCAGCGCCGAGCCGTCTGGCGGGCGGTGCATGGTGAGGGGGCGGCTCGACGTACTTGGGGGCGGCGGAGGCGTGCGCCGCAGCAGCGCGGGACGAGCACGTGGGCATGGCGGCGAGCGGAGGGACGCGCGGCGAGTCACGGCGAGAACGAGTCGCCGCGGATAGCGGGGATTGCGGATGGCGGCGGCAGGGACTCGCTGGCCATCGGGGTGCGCTGCTAGGAGAGCGTCGTACGCGGACGCCCGCGGCGTCTGGGAGGTCGATGTGTGGTGCACGGCAGGATACGTCGAGGCAGTGAATGTTGAAACGCAGTGATGATTGATTCTGGCCTCGAATATTGAGATTCAAAGTGTTCAAATGTTTGCTTCTGGATTCGACCTTCCAATTTGAAACGAGGCGGTTTGTGGCGAGTAAGTCCCTTCCGCTGCGTCGGCATCCACAATTGCTGCTTCCTGGTGGCGCGCACCGCACTTGCCATAGCACGCTTCTCATACGCGGCACACATCCCACCCCGAGCAACCTCCACCAGGCCCACACTCCACATCTGCCTTCTCTCCCCCGCCTCCGCGCCCCACCGCTCCTCCCCTCCGCGCGTCAATGGCGGCATCGCTTGCGCCACCGTGCCGCTCCGCGCTTTGTCCGCCGCCACTCCGCCTCGCCTCGCGGCATTCCACCTTCCGCACCTCCTCCTCCCCATCCTTGCCGCTCCACCCGCGGCCGGTACGCAAAGGGATGCGCGCGCGGGGGGCAGTGCGCGCGGGTATCGCGGAAGCGGACGGGGAGCCTGCGCCGATGGGGCACGTGACGAAGTACAACGACTCGCCCATCGACCTCGCGCTCATGGGGCTCTTCCGCCGCAAGATGGAGCAGCAGATCGGTGGTGAGCGGTGACACGCGGTGAGGGGGGTTCTCCTTAGCGGTGAACGTTGTTGACCAGGCCTTGTCTGCTGGCCTAACCCTGGCGCTGCGCTTTCTTCCCGAGCCCTCATGCGCGTGTGGCTGGCCGAGCCCGCTGCTTTACCCAACTGCTTGTTGTGGCGAGATGGCATGGTGGCGTGATGGCATGGTGGCGTGATGGCATGGTGGCATGGCATGGTGGCGTGACATGGTGGCATGGCATGGCATGGCATGGCATGGCATGGCATGGCATGGCATGGCATGGCATGGCATGGCATGGCATGGCATGGCATGGCATGGCATGGCATCAGAGGTGAGGACGAAGCAGGGCGGGTACGAGGCATTCGTGGAGGTGTCGCGGCGGGTGATGCAGGGCCGCACAGCGGCGGAGCAGCGCGCCATCGTGGCCAACGTCCTCATGTCTCTGCTGCCGCCCAACGCCCCCGCCACCGTGCGTCCTGCTCCAACCGCTCCCCCTCTGCTATCTGCTCCCTCTGCTATCTGCTCCCTCTGCTATCTGCTCCCTCTGCTATCTGCTCCCTCTGCTATCTGCTCCCTCTGCTATCTGCTCCCTCTGCTATCTGCTCCCTCTGCTATCTGCTCCCTCTGCTATCTGCTCCCTCTGCTATCTGCTCCCTCTGCTATCTGCTCCCTCTGCTATCTGCTCCCTCTGCTATCTGCTCCCTCTGCTATCTGCTCCCTCTGCTATCTGCTCCCTCTGCTATCTGCTCCCTCTGCTATCTGCTCCCTCTGCTATCTGCTCCCTCTGCTATCTGCTCCCTCTGCTATCTGCTCCCTCTGCTATCTGCTCCCTCTGCTATCTGCTCCCTCTGCATCTCTCCGTTTCCCCGACCGCTGCGTGCTCTGTGCTTCGCATGCCCCCTCCACCATCACTCTCGCTGCCATCTCCCCACACTCCACCGCCCTCCCACAACGCCCCCTCGCCCCCCTTCAGTTCCGCAAGCTGTTCCCACCCACCAAGTGGTCGGCGGAGATCAACGCCGCCATCACCGTGCCGGGCTTCCAGTGGCTCGTCGGGCCCTGCCAGGTCAGTGCCTCGTCGGGCCCTGCCAGGTCAGACCCTCGTGGGGCCCTGCCAGGTCAGACCCTCGTGGGGCCCTGCCAGGTCAGACCCTCGTGGGGCCCTGCCAGATCAGACCCTCGTGGGGCCCTGCCAGGTCAGCCCGCTGCTGCTGCTGCTGCACCACCTGCCATGACGTGTGCATTCGTGCCTATGCTGCTAAGGACGCCAGTGATGCTGTGCCAAGTGGGCAAGTGTCGTTGCTGCATGCACACGGCCTCTAATGCTGAGAAACGCACGTGCTGTCATGCTGCTGCTCCTCTGCTGCTCGTCTGCTGTTCCTCTGCTGCTCTCTTCTTGCTGCACCATCATCCATGCACCATCATCCATGCACCATCATCCATGCACCATCATCCATGCACCATCATCCATGCACCATCATCCTTGCACCATCATCCATGCACCATTCCTGTGACTTGTCAGACTGCTGCTTCGTTCGCTTGCTCGTTCTTGAAATCGGGTGTTTCTGCCTCATGTGCCCTGCCACGTCTCTTGCCTGCCCATTCCCTGCTGCCTGTGGTGCTGTGCGGTGTGTGCGGCGGGCAGCTGAAGGAGGTGGAGGTGAACGGGCAGAAGCAGATGAGCGGCGTGCAGGTCAAAAAGTGCAGGTGACGCCGTGCTCTCATCGGAAGCGCATATGCGTGCATGTGATGGCATTCATGGGTCCATTGTGTCTTTGCGCATGTTTAAGCCGGAGAAACTCAGATTGCATGTGCATGAGCATCTCTACGCCATCCTTCCATCTCACCAGCTGGGCGTTCAGGTTCCACCCGCCGCCATCCCTGGTATTGCCCACCCTCACACCTGGTGCTGCTGATATGTGTCTGTGCGCGCATCCCCCCCTCCCTCAGGTACCTGGAGGTGAGTGGGTGCGTGGGCATGTGCGTGAACATGTGCAAGCTGCCCACACAGGACTTCTTCACCAACGACTTTGGCCTCCCGCTCACCATGACCCCTAGTAGGCCCCCCCACCATCACGCCCAGTAGGCCCCCCCACCATCACGCCCAGTAGGCCCCCCCACCATCACGCCCAGTAGGCCCCCCCACCATCACGCCCAGTAGGCCCCCCCACCATCACGCCCAGTAGGCCCCCCACCATCACGCCCAGTAGGCCCCCCCACCATCACGCCCAGTAGGCCCCCCCACCATCACGCCCAGTAGGCCCCCCCACCATCACGCCCAGTAGGCCCCCCCACCATCACGCCCAGTAGGCCCCCCACCATCACGCCCAGTAGGCCCCCCCACCATCACGCCCAGTAGGCCCCCCCACCATCACGCCCAGTAGGCCCCCCACCATCACGCCCAGTAGGACCCCCCACCATCACGCCCAGTGCCAGTGTGCTGCCCTCCCCCAGTAAACGGCCCTGTGCATCCCCTGTTTACATGCTCACGCCCTTCGCAGCTGCCAGTGCGTCTTTGATCTCCTGGGAAGAATACCGTGAATGCACTGCCCGCTCTCCTGCTCCCACCCCTGCATTCACCCTCACCTGGCCTCGTCACTGCATGCCTCCCACCACCCACCACCCACCACCCACCACCCATGCACCACCCTTTGTCTGGCAGACTTTGAGGACATGAGCTGCGAGATGGTGTTTGGCCAGATGCCCCCTCCCCTCTCCGAGGACCCAGCTCTCAACCAGCCCTGCTTCGCCGCACTCTGTGAGTGCTGCTCCCCTGCATTCGCCTCTGACTCACTGCGCTTGCCCTGCCAGCACCTCACCTGTGGAACTCGCCCTGCCCCTGCCGCGTGAAGGTTGGCGCGTCCCTCCCCATCAGCTGCGCCACTCACGCCACTTGCCTTTGCCTCCCCTCTAATGCTCTGCCTCTGTGCCCTGTGCTGTTGGCAGGTTCCATGGCCCAACCAGAGGCTGACAAGTGTCCACGAGCCCCTGATGCTACTGCACCTTAGCAGGGTGTTCACCTGGCTTTGAATCACTGTAATTATGTTGATACTAGTGAAAGTGTGTAATGAGCTTGTAAGGTAATGGTTATTATCAGAATTGAAGAAGTGAATGATAGAGTGAGAGTACACACAACTATACCTAAGTGTTGTACCCTCTAAGAGGCGACCCTATACAGTCTATACAAACATGACAAATACACATGTTTGACACACCCCCTAGACTGCATAGGGGAATGTCCTAAACAAGCAGCTCAGGGCGGCACTACTAGTCCAACCTCTGAGACAAGGGTCTGAGAGACCAGTCAGAAGGAGTACAGACAAGGCAAGAACAAGAGCAGGGCGGCACTACTAGTCCAGCCACTGGGAGAGGACACAAGTCCAGTCTGAGTATACATATAAAGGACAGTACAAAGTCAAGGTCCTAGCAAGTGAGAGGCTACAGGAACTAGACCAAGCTGTACACAGTGCCGCTGATGATCTTTAGGCGCAAGCGCCTTCGTAAAGATATCAGCCGTGTTGGCACCTGAGGCCAAGTGTACTACGCGAGCCTGACGTCGCTGCTGTAGCTCACGCAGGAGGAAGTACCGCAGCTGAATGTGCTTCGCTCTGCCCTCGAGTCGAGGCTCCTGACACAGGAGGATCATGGCCCTGTTGTCAGCGAACAGGACCGGGGCAGAGCTAGGCCGCTCACCTAAGTCAGTGAGCAAGAAGGTCAGCCAGCGGAGCTCCTGTGCCGCCATGGCACCAGCGTAGATCTCGGCCTCACAGCTGGACTGGGCAACAGATGAGGAGCGGGTAGCTCTCCACGAGATGGCACCTGAACCAAGGCTGAAGCAGTAGCCCTGGGAAGACCTGAGTGTCTCAGCGTCGTCCGCCCACGAAGCGTCTGTGTGTCCAGTAAGGACCACTGGCCTGCGTCCTCCTAGCACTAACCCCATGTCCGATGTACTCGCAAGAGGGGTCGGGATGTCGAAAGCGTCTGGGTCACCCTCAGGGACTAACAGCATGGAACAGAGATGGGGAGCAGCCTCGGAGAGGAAAGCAAGCTCGAACTGGCGGTCCTCCGGGACGTCACTGCCAAGGGCAGGAGCACCCCCGACAGACGGAGGACAGGCAGGGTCAGAGACCAGAGCGGAGGCGTAGTCAAGGCGGCGGGAAGAGGCGAAGTCAGCGACAGCAGCGACAAGGGCGTCAAGGCACGGGGCCGGAACAGACGGGTCGGTAACGAGAGAGGCAAGGACGCGAGGAACAAGGGGACGAGCGGCACGAAGGTAGTCAGACAGCGGGGGGGGTGCAACAACAAGGGAGGACGGAGGAGGCGACGGCAGAAGGGGAGGACGAGACGCGTGGGAACGAAGCAACATAGGGTGGGAGCGCAAGACAGGCAAGGCAGGACGAGCACGGGAGGGACGGTGAGACCAGACGTGCGACGGAGGAGTCGGGTCAGGAGACAGGGGAGGGGACACAGGAGGGGAACGAGGGGGGAGACGGGCCGGGGACGAGTCCGGCGGAGGGAAAACAGGGCCGTAGACAGGAAGAGGAGGAGACGGCAGGAGAGGAACAGACGCAGGGTCGGGGGACGGAAGGCCGAGCAGGCGAAGGGCTGACACCGGCGGGGACTGCTGCTGCGGCGGCACAACGGCGACACCTGGACCGCAAGCTGCTCCTCGGCTACCACCGGCACTCTCCACACCAGCACCCCCAGAGGGGCCACCCCCCAGGGCGACCGGGACGAGCACCCCCAGAGTCAGCGAACGGGGGCTGCGACGGCGGCGGCGGCGGCAACGACGGCTGCAGCGGCGGCAGAGGCGGTGGAGGAGGGGACTGGGGAGGGGACGCCGGGGGAGGGGCAGCCGGCGAGGACTGCACAGGAGGGCCACCAGAGTCAGAAGACTCCTCAACCGGGTCCTCCGACGGAAGGGGGGTAACGTGGGACACACCAGAGGGGGCGGGACGGGGAGGAGGAGGAGGAGGGGCAGGGACTACCGGGGAAGGAGGGACCAGGAACAGGGGGGGAGTAACCGGGGGACCACGGTGGGGGAAGCGACGGTAGTAGGAGACGGACTCGTCAAAGGTGACGTCACGAGAGTGAAAGAAGCGGTGAGACGGCGGGTGGTAAAAGTGCCAGTCGGACGCGTCAAGGGGAAAACCGAGGAAGACGCAGGGAAGGGTGCGGGCAGTGAGCTTGTCCGTGCCGGAGGCACGGACGTGAGCAAGGCAGCCCCAAACGTGGAACGCAGACGCGTCACCAGGAGACCCAGTCCAAAGACGGGTCGACGAAACCTGCGGCTGCTGAGGGTGCGGCCACAGGTTAAGCTGGTGAGAAGCGTAGCGCACAGCGAACGGCCACAGAAAATGGGGTGCACCGGCATGGATCATGGAGGTGCGAGCCACCTCCATGACCAAACCGATGCGTCGCTCAGCGACCCCATTCTGCTGTGGGGAGTCCGGTAGGGTGAACGTCTGGGTGATGCCCTCCGCACGACAAAAGCGACCAAGGACACCTGAGGCAAACTCGCCACCACGGTCTGAGTGAAGACGCAAGACAGGGAGACCGCGGTGGACACGCGCAGAGACAAGCCAGGGGATGAGAGCGCCAGGCACGTCGGCCTTGCGCTCCAGGGGAAAGACTGTGGTGTAACGAGTGAAGTCGTCGACAAGCACAAGGAAGTAGCGCTCTCGACGCGGCCCAGGGACGGGGGCGGGGCCCCAGACGTCCAGGTGCAGGGTCTGCAGCGGCGCGGCGGTAGGGGGAAACGAGGAGGAGTGAGGGGCACGGCGAAGCCGACCCTCGACACAAGGCGTGCAAGGTGGGGCTGGGGAGGAGGGAAACGCAGGGAGAGAACCTGGGAGACCAAGGACAAGACCGTGCTGGGACATGTGACGCAGACGTGGGAGCGCAGGGTGACCTAGGCGGTGGTGCCAAAGGAGGGTCGGGTGAGTGAGGGACCGACAGGAGCAGGCAGCAGCAACCTGGGTAGACGCAGCCACCTGAGGGGGCGCTCCAGCCGGGGGGGTCACGGTGTCCAGAGTGAACAGGCCGGACACCGGGTCCCGGGGGAACGTGGACAGGGGGGCACCAGTGGCGGCCTCGGTACAGACAGCATACCGCTCGTGACCAAGGAACGTAGTGGTGACGCCAAGGTCCTGGAGGCAGCCGACACCAACTAGGTTCCTGGAGAACGAGGGGATATGCAGACCTGTAAGAGAGCCCGAAGGAACCGCCGGACAGGGAAGGGTGGTGGAACTGCGGGCGACTACCGGACCGCCAGAGGGGTCAGCGAGAGAAACGGCAGCAGGGACAGGAAGCGGCGTCAGGGTGGTGGAGTCGCGGAAGAAACACCGAGAAGCGCCAGAGTCCAAGGTGAAGGAAAGCGAAGCAGAGGCGTCTGGCGACGGAACGACGACGGAAGCACCAAGACTACACAAAGCAGGGGATCCTACGCCTGACGCAGCAGGGGAGGGTACACTAGGCACACCTACACTAGGCAACAATGAGTAATAAGGGGGAAGCACACTAGAGTCATCAGCAGACATCACATGCAGAGCAGAAACAATGGCATCCATGTCCATATCAAAGATCTGAATCTGACGACTAAGCAAACTCTGCCAGTCCAGGAGGTCTGGCGACGGGCCGAAGCGCTGACGAAAGAGGTCGTCCAGGCGACGAAAACAGCGGGGAGTGGAGTGACCGATCTTACCGCAAACGAAGCCACGGCGAGGACCGGTCTGGATCTGGTACTGACAACACCCGCCACCAGAGCCACCACTCGGCACACCACCACGCGCCCGGCCACCGCCAGCGCCGGGCCACCCGGGCGGGAGGACACTCGTCTGCCGCGTCTGCGACGGCTGCTGCGGCTGCTGCGAAGGCTGCGACTGCGGCGGCTGCTGCGGCTGCTGCAACTGCAGGGGCGGCGGCTCAGCTGGACTGGGCAGGGTCCCCTCGTCCGCTCCAGCACCAGACGACCCGACCCCACCACTACCCCCTCCTGCACCCCCGCCTCCGCCTCCGCCGCGCCCAATCTTGGGGCGGCGGCCCTTCCCCGAACGAAACTGCGCTGCAGCAGCAGTCTCAGCCACTGCGACAGAGCCGTCGGAGAAGGTACACTGGGCGGGGGCACAGCCCTGAAAGATAGGGACAGGCACGACACCGCTCGCCTGGGTGATGGAGCGGTGACGGGTCTCTATCACAGTCAGGGTGTCTACAAAGTCAGTGAGGGTGAGGTCGGCGGGGTGAAGGCTAAGGAAGCGGTCACGGGCGACAGCAAGGCGGTCAGGGAGGCGGGTGGCAAGCAGGTAGAGGGTAGAGGTAATGGGCGGCTGGTGGGCTCTAAGCTGTGCGTCAGTGTAGGCGGCGCGCCAGGTCTCCTCTATCGAGCGCAGGTGGGCAGCGAGGTCAGAGACAGTGGGGAAAGATGCAAGGTCAGGAAAGAGCATCGGGAGGATCAGGCGACCCACCGAGGCAGCCGGAGGGGTGGAATAGCGCTTGATGACAGCATCTAAGTATGCCTGAGCAGTAGTGAGGGACCTAAAGCGAGGACGCTCGGACGGGGGGAGGGCGTTGCTAATGGCAAGCTGGGCGACAGCATCGCGAGAAAGCCAGACAGAGCGCGCACGGGCAGTGGCAGCAGTAGACTCACGCTCAGTGGGTGTGGGGTCAGCGGGCAGAATGGCAGGGGGGTCTGGGCAGGGGAGCGTACCGTCAAGGTGTGCGGAAAGCGGTTCACCATCCTGCCGCTGGCCAGTGAGTTGGCGGCGGAGGTCGGCAAGCCACGCCTCGAACTCTAGGGGCTGACCTTCAGCGTCGAAGCGCAGCTCCGCCGCCATCAGGAACAGTCCAGTGCGGTGCAGGGCGGTGCAGTGCAGTGCAGTGCGGTACAGTGCGGTGCAGTGCGGTGTAAGGCAGTACAGTGTGGTGCGTGGCGGTACGGTGCAGGGCAGTGCAGGGCGGGGTGGGTGGGAACCGTACCAGTGAGGAGGACGGGGCCGGGGCAGCGGGGCCGGGTAGGAGCGACCGGGCCGGGCGAGGACGACGGGGCCGGGCGGGCGCGACGGGGCCGGGCGGGCGCGACGGGGCCGGGCGGGCGCGACGGGGCCGGGCTGGTGCGACAGGGTCGGGCCGGGGCGACGGGGCCGGGCGAGCGCGACGGGGCCGGGCAGGGGCGACGAGGCCGGGCGGGGGCGACAGGGCCGGGCCGGTGCGATGGGGCCGGGCGGGCGCGACGGGGCCGGGCTGGTGCGACGGGGCCGGGCAGGGTGCGACAGGGCCGGGCGGGCGCGACGGGGCCGGGCGGCTGCGACGGGGCCGGACAGGGTGCGACGGGGCCGGGCGGGTGCGACGGGGGGCCCAGGAGGGGCGCTGCAGGGGCCCAGGAGGGGCGCGACGGGGCCCAGGAGGGGCGCTACGGGGCCCAGGAGGGGCACGACGGGGCCCAGGAGAGGCGCTACGGAGCCCAGGAGGGGCGCGACGGGGCCTGGGAGGGGCGCGACGGGGCCCAGGAGGGGCGCTACAGGGCCCAGGAAGGGCGCGACGGGGCCCAGGAGGGGCGCTACGGGGCCTGGGAGGGGCGCGACGGGGCCCAGGAGGGGCGCTACGGGGCCTGGGAGGGGCGCGACGGGACCCAGGAGGGGCGCTACGGGGCCTGGGAGGAGCACGACGGGGCCCAGGAGGGGCGCTACGGGGCCTGGGAGGGGCGCGACGGGGCCCAGGAGGGGCGCTACAGGGCCCAGAAAGGGCGCGACGGGGCCCAGGAGGGGCGCTACGGGGCCCAGGAGGGGCGCTACGGGGCCCAGGAGGGGCGCGACGGGGCCTGGGAGGGGCGCGACGGGGCCCAGGAGGGGCGCTACGGAGCCCAGGAGGGGCGCGACAAAGCCCAGGAGGGGCGTTACGGGGCCTAGGAGGAGCGCGACGGGGCCCAGGAGGGGCGCTACGGGGCCCAGGAGGGGCGCGACGGGGCCTGGGAGGGGCGCGACGGGGCCCAGGAAGGGGCGCGACGGGGCCCAGGGAGGGGCGCGACGGGTCCAAGGAAGGGGCGCGACGGGGCTAGGGGGGGGTCGCGACGGGGCTAGGGGGGCGAGCGGAAGCGGTAGGTGGGGGGGGGGATCCTACCTACGCGTGATACCATATCAGAATTGAAGAAGTGAATGATAGAGTGAGAGTACACACAACTATACCTAAGTGTTGTACCCTCTAAGAGGCGACCCTATACAGTCTATACAAATATGACAAATACACATGTTTGACAGTTATTGCATGTAATGCAATGGACAAATCACATACACTTCAGTATCTTATGGTAACTCCATTGTTCAGTGCCTTGTGTCTTGGGTTGGGTCTGTCTGTGCATGGCGTGTGTTTCAAGAATATGGCGGCTCAGTGCATGCCCTAGAGGATGGTGCAGGAGGGCTCTTCTGGAGGGGGGTGCGGCACAGGGGATGGTTCAACAGCAAATGCCTTAGACACTGGGTGCATCGCAGCCGCTCCAGCAGCTCAAAACAAGTTACTCACTATTGGCTCACCAGAAACACAACAAGACTCTGATGAAACAAGTGAAAGAAACATCCGAGAGGAAAGCTGGATGCCCCCTGCTTGCACAGCAGTGCAGCAAGGCGCCACTGCAACACGGCACAGCCAGCCAGCCAGGTGCTGAGCTGAAAACTGCTCTGCTTCCACGGCCAAGCGAGAGCAGCAAAACACGTTAAATACCCCGTGTGACCCCAGCCCCCCTTGCACACACCACACCACCCTACAGTGCTGCCCATCAGCCGCCATGCCACCGACGATGTCGACACGGCATCACATGGCCATGCTGATGGCAGAACGAGCACATGAGCACTTTGAGTGAAGCAGAAGCAGAAGCAGAAGCAGGCGGCACGACAGCGTTACCATGACATGACATGCGGCGGGGCCCCGCACGGTCAGAGAATGGCACAGCACCCACCCTGGGCCTCCATGGAGCCCCCCAGCCCCTGCTGCAGCTTCTCCAGCCGCGCCACCACCTCGCTGAACTCGGGCCGCTTCTCCGCCTCCGCCGCCCAGCACTCCACCATCAGCCGCGCCAACTCGGGGTCGCACCCCGCCGGCACCTCCGGCCGCAGATTCTGATGGGAGGAATGGGGGGGGGGGGGGGAGGAAGGGCACAGAGGAGTGGGATGGGATGGGGAAGAGGAGGGGAGCGGGGGGTTCTGCTGAAGACCACTTGCCAGCACCCTTCTCTCGCTCTGTGCTGCCCTTCTGCACGTTGTAGCATATGATTCTGTTTCCTCACCCCGTCTTTATTGCTGTTTCTCACCCACGATGTGTGCGTCCGCCCTGTCCTGGGTGCACCTTATTGACGACGTTGTAGGCGAGCTGGATGAAGGTCAGGCCCTTGAACGGCAGCTCGCTGGTGACCAGCTCCCACAGCACGATGCCGAAGCTGTACACGTCCACCTTGCGCGTGTACGGCTTGTGGTCGATCACCTGTTGGGGGGCGTGGGGACGGGGGGGCGCATGGAGGGACGCATGGAGGGACGCATGGAGGGACGCATGGAGGGACGCATGGAGGGACGCATGGAGGGACGCGTGGAGGGACGCATGGAGGGACGCGTGGAGGGACGCGTGGAGGGACGCATGGAGGGACGCATGGAGGGACGCATGGAGGGACGCGTGGAGGGACGCGTGGAGGGACGCGTGGAGGGACGCATGGACGCAGAGGGAATAGGCATGCATGGGTGCATGGGGCCGTACATGTCAACCTTGCATGTCGTCAATCACCCGGTGGGCGTGGTGGGTGCAAGGCGGTATGCGTGGAGGGCGCACGGATGGAAGCACGGAGGATCGCACGCACTTATGTACACAAACGTCGCACTCGTGCATCCTCTGCGCTCGCCGCGGGCGCCATCCAGCTCACCTCGGGCGCCATCCAGCTCACCTCGGGCGCCATCCAGCTCACCTCGGGCGCCATCCAGCGCACGGTGCCAGTCTCGCAGGTCATGTCGTTGGGGTTCTTCGCCTCCGTGCGCGCCACGCCGAAGTCCGCGATCTTGACGGTGCCCTTGTGGTCCAGCAGCAGGTTGTCGGACTTCAGGTCGCGGTGCACCACGTCGCGCGCGTGCAGGTAGCTGCACCGTTGTGGGGGGGGGGGGGGGGGGGGTGGGGGGTGGGGGGGAAGGGGGATAGGGGGGAGAGGTTGAGGGGGGAGGGAACTTAAAAAGCAATGTCTCGTCCGCTCCCTCTCCCCTCAGGCTCCTCCCCCTTTCCCTTCCCCCCCCCCCCCCTCCCTTCCTCCACGGCAATATGCAGCAACAGTCTAACGCTCCCCGCAGTTCTCAGCTTGCCCCTTCCACGCCCTCCATATGCCCACCAACAACCCCCCCTCCTTCCCCCCCTCCCCGACCCCCTTTTCCCTCCCCCCCAACCCACGCACCAGAGCCCGCGTGCGATGTGCAGCGCGAGGCGGACGCTCTCCTTGGGCGGCAGCTTGCCCCGGCGCGAGAGGTGCGCGCGCAGCGTGCCGCCGCCCATGTACTCCGTCACGATCGCCCACAGCGGCTGCCCCGCTGGCGGCTTCGCGTCGCTGGGCGCGCGGATGTTGGCCGCGTTGAGCGACGCGCCGATGAACTGGCGTAGGGGGGTGAGCGGGGGGGGAGAGGGAGAAGGGGAGGGGGGGGGGGAAGGAGGGGAGAGACAGGTGGGATGGATGCGGGGGGAGAGGAGAGAAGATGGAGATTAGGAGAGACGCACCGAGCTACTGGCTTCGTTGGCGTGCGACAACGTGTTACCTGCACGACGTTGGGGTGCGAGAGCGTGTGCCAGACGGCGATCTCCTGCAGAAACGAGCTCTTGAGCCCCTCGAGGTCCTTGGGCGCCATGTCGGGCGGCACGTTGAGCAGCTTCACGGCGACGTCGTCGCCGTCGTGCAGCCCGTGGAACACCTTCCCGAACGCACCCGCCGCCAGCTGGTTCGTGCACATCACCTGGGGGAGAGCGCACGGGTGGCGCGCGGGAGAGACATGGCGGGGATTGCGGGACGGCGGAAAGGGCGAGTTGAAGGCTGTGCGGGATTATGAGACGAGGCGGCAGTAGGGAATGCGCGGACGACCTAGCCAATCAGGTGCAGAGCTTCGCACGAATCGTGATCCGATCACGTCCAAGAAATCCAGTCCGCTCGACTGACTTCCCGACAGGAGCTATAACTAAAGCGACTCACCTTGGTCATAATGAAAGTGACTCACCTTGCTCATAATGAAAAGCGACTCACCTTGCTCATAATGAAAAGCGACTCACCTTGCTCATAATGAAAAGCGACTCACCTTGCTCATAATGAAAAGCGACTCACCTTGCTCATAATGAAAAGCGACTCACCTTGCTCATAATGAAAAGCGACTCACCTTGCTCATAATGAAAGCGACTCACCTTGCTCATATCCAGGTTCCACGGCGGCGGGCCTCCGCTGTCATCCGCCACCTTAGCGACCGCCTTGCCCGTCGCGCCCTCCGCTTTCCCCCCCGTCCCCGCGTCTGCCTGGCCTTCCGCCGCCGCACCGGCGCATTTGTCGAGCGCGTCCATGCTGCTCAGATCCAGCAGGTCCGCGCGCACCATGCCGCCGCCCTCCGTCCCCATCTCCCCGCCTTGCGCCCGGCCGCTTCCCCCTGCCGCCTAACGATTGGTCCTAGCTGCCTTGAGTCTCGTTATATCACTCCGCTGGAGCAGTCGTTCCCTCCGCGTCAGCCCTTCAACCAACATGCGCGACGCCTAATGCGCTGGGAGGGAGGCAGTCGTCACGCATTGACGTATCTGACGGTCGTCAACACGCACTAACGTAACTGACGGTCGTCAACACGCACTGACGTAACTGACGGTCGTCAACACGCACTAACGTAACTAACGGTCGTCAACACGCACTAACGTAACTGACGGTCGTCAACACGTACTAACGTAACTGACGGTCGTCAACACGCACTAACGTAACTGACGGTCGTCAACACGCACTAACGTAACTGACGGTCGTCAACACGCACTAACGTAACTGACGGTCGTCAACAGCCACCAAGGCATCTGTCGGTCGTAAAATAAACAGGTGTGAATCGCTTACTGTGACTCTCAGAAATCGTTGCGGGTTAGCTAGCTTTGCCTACATGCGAATCCATGGCGCACTGGCGAGTGCGATGCCTTGCTCAGACACTAGTACACAGTCGAAGTCAACATGCCAGATTCACTATCGTCGCTACAATGCGATGCTCTGATAATCATTTAGAACACGACCACTAGACTAACTTCCTAAGCAAGCTCCGTGGTTCCCATGAAGCTGGCTAGAGTCGCACGGAGGTGCAGAAAACGAGGTAATGCAGGCCTAGATTGCCATACCAATGCTCGTGCGATTGAAGAAGAGCATTTTTCAACAATAGTTCGTCTCGACAGTTGGTTTCGGTGGGGCGTGCCCACCGAAATGAACAAGTTTTGAGCCATTCATCTCGGTGTGTAGCGATTTTGCGAAGACCCACTTCGCCACCCGGACGACTCGCACACCACCCTTCGCCAAAAACGCGACCAATCAGCCGAGGTCCAGGCGATGACACTTGCGAGGGGAAACCAGGCTGCTTTCGCCGTCTCTTTTTGTCATTTCAACATGACGTTCCGTCTCGGTTTGTTCTGACGGTCCATCTCTTGTGGGGCGTCGTGTGGGGCGTCCTGTCAGGCGTGGATGTCGTCGTGAGTCGTGACGAAGACGAAAGTGGCTTAGGTGGTACCACGTGGAGTTCCGGCCAGCCTCGATTGGTAGATAATAAGTAAATCTCACACGTGGCTAGCTATTACAACCAAGGAGTTTTTCTTTTGCTCCTTTATATCGCCGAAAGGGCAGCTTTTCGCACCACGTGAAGACCGCCGCCGGAGAGCAGGTTGCCCAAAATCGGGCAGGGTCGTTGGGTGGCTTGGTGTACAGTAAAGACTTCTGCTACACTGCAGGGCTTAACATGCACTAAAAAACAATCAGTAACCCAAGTAAAAAAAATAGATAACAAAACATGGTCAAGAGCTTGTGTTCAACTGAGGAATTCATTCATCACATTCCACGGATTTGAGAACTAGAAATATGAGTTCTCTATAATCCACGGAGGTGAAAACTAGTGGCGTGTTTGAGGGAAAATAAAGTCTACATGTGATAGAAAACGGCTTCTATGAAGTAAAAAGTCTACATTTCAGCGGTGTACCCGAAACCCTAACTCCAACGGTCCACCTGCTCCAGTCAGTGGATCCCCCTGCGCCAGCCAGTGCTTCGCCCTCCAATTCCTGTGATTCAAGCAGCTCTGCTCTGACAGCCGCTCTAGCAGCAGCCTCCCCCCAAATGCATTTACGAGCACCAACAAACCCATCGCACTCAGTGCCCTCAACTCCTACCACCCATTTTCTCTTGTGTTGCCCTAAAATCTCTCTGCGCCTCGGCCCGCTGGGAAAATTATCTCCCGAGCCACTCCTTTTTCTTGCGCTCCGGACCCATCGTCAATGTTGTGACCCCTTTAAAAAAATCTGAGCTTACTTGGCAGTGTTTGGGATGGACAACCAACCCACGTCATTCTATTTGGTTTGTGGGTTGATTTCCACCAGCCATGTGGCGTAGGTGATGCTGATCTGGACGATCCTTTTCGAAATTTCACATTTTCGCGCTCGAAAATATCCTTCTCAACGGCTTTCTACGCACCCACCGAGGCCCAAGTTGGGCGTCGGAACCCCAACCGACTCCCCTCGCAGCCTGCTTTCGCCTCCCACTTGCGCCGTGCCTCGCTCCCACCCAAATCCCTGCCTCGCCCTCTCGCGCAACATTTCGCACCTCGATTTCTCGTTTTCACTCCTAGCTCTCGCTCCGTGCCCTTCAGCTCGTCTAGGCTACTTTTCAGCGCACATCTCCAGTCCGACTTCAATTGCTGCGGCACCTCGCGTATTCAGAAGCGCACACCACTCGCCATCGCCGAAGGCATCACAGCATCGGTTCAATTCAACGCAGCATCGTCTGGCGTGCGTGGTGACGACATGGCGTGATTTTTCGCCGTTCGACGACCGATTCGCGACTAACAGCCCGCATGCATTAATCGTACGTGGATTTCCATGTTTCTTGCTGTATTTGACACCGTCGCATGCCGTCGTTTTTCGTCGGCGTTTTTTGCTATAACCTAGTTCGCGATTACTATTTTCGTGTTCTGCTGCTTTCCCTCTTTCTCAGATAATTGCAAGATTCTTTAGACTCGTGGAGTCACGCACCTTGCGCTCAACTGCTGCTGCTCGCCGCTCGCCATCAGTCGTCCATCCGACCACCAACCACCGTCCGCCACTCGCTTCGCCTCACCCCCGTCGCCTGCTCCGTCCATCGCCATCAAGCGGTAAGCAGTCGGTTTCGCTTCCGTTCGCCGATTTCAGTTTTACATTTCGAAGTCCATTTCGCTGAAGTAGTTTCCTTCCGTGTCTCGTTGCAGGAAGCAGGAGCAGCCATTCAAACCAAGCCAAGCAGTGAGCAGCGAGCCAAGAAAGCCCAAGGGCCGTTTCGTCTAAGGCGGCACCGTTGGGCGACCAACCATCCGGCCCGCCCTCGTCCGATCACCGCGACGATCCGCCCCGCCGTCCAATCTGCCGTCCAATCCGCCGTCCAATCCGCCGTCCAATCCGCCATCCAATCTGCCGTCCAATCCGCCGTCCAATTCGCCACCAATTCGCCGCCAATTCGTCACCCAATTCGCCATCCAATTCGCCAACCAATCCGCCGTCCAATCCGTCGTCCAATTCGCCATCCGATTCGCATTCAATCCGCCATCCATAGCCACTCGATTCGCCATCCAATCCGCCACACCCCATTTCGCCGTACCCTGAGGGAACTTCACCGAAAGCAGCCACTGGAGCAAGCAGCCTACCGCGGCCTTGCCAGCATGCGGCGGTGCTGCCAGCACCCCTCTGCACCGCACGGAGCAGCGTCCGCCATCCACGCCACGCGCTCAGATGAGTATTCAAAACCCTGCTCGCCCCGCTCGACCCTCCCCCCCATGCACACACCATGCACCATGCACCATGCACCATGCACCATGCACCATGCACCATGCACCATGCACCATGCACCATGCATCGCCATTCCCGGCCAAAGGCGCACCTGCAGAGCTCCCTGTCTCTCCCCCCAGGTCCGGGTTAGCGTCTTCCATGTAGCTTTGGTAGCTCTGTCAGCTCTGTCAGCCCATGTCCTGTGCACGCGTCTGCTGCTAGCCGTCCTGCCTGCTTGCGCTGCCTGCTCGCGTCCGTCTGAGCTCTGCAGGGTGATCGCCGTGGCTGGTGGCATTCATGTGCGCACCTCACCCTCATCGCTCGCATTGTCAATTTGACTCTCACTTCTCGATTTCGCCATTTCACTCTCTCTGCCGACTCCCCTCGGTTGCTTGCTGCCCTTCAACTCATTCCCCCCCGCCCTCCCCGCCTCCCGCCTCCTCGCCCCTGCCCTCCCAGGCGTGCTCTTTCTGAGTGGAGGGCAGCGAGCGAGCACCAGAGGCGGGCAGCAAGATGGTCAGCCACAACCACTCACGAAGGGTCGAGGTTGCAGTATCACCCCGCCACCACACGCCACAAGAGCCTTCCCCCCAGGTTCAGGTGCAGGTGCAGGTGCAGGTATTTTCTTTCTTTGGTACTGGCTCGCGTGGTGCTGTTGGCGGCGTCACATGCACCATCCTCACATCGCGCTTGCTCACTTGCTGTACTCGTCTTGCTTTGCTTGTATCGCTTTGCAAGGGTCGCTCCCTGCTGTCATGCACTCACTCCCCCCCCCCACCTTCCCCCCTCCCCCTCCTTTTTCCCATCCCCCAGCTTGACTGGCAGGCGCTCTTCCCCAAGGCTCTGCTCGCGCTGCTCTCAAGGGAGCGCCAAGGCGGGCAGCAAGAAGACGGGCAGCAAGAGGGCGGGCAGCAAGAGGACGGGCAACAAGAGGACGGGCAGTAAGGCAGCAACGCCGCGGATCATGAAGGGTCGAGGTTGCAAGTATCACCCCGCCACCACACGCCACAAGAGCCTTCCCCCCAGGTTCAGGTTCAGGTGCAGGTGCAGGTATTTTCGTTCTTTGGTACTGGCTCGCGTGGTGCTGTGGGCGGCGTCACACGCACCATCCTCACATCGCGCTTGCTCACTTGCTGCACTTGTCAAGACTCGCTCCCCGCTGCCAGGCACTCACTCCCTCCCCTCCCCCCCTCTCCCTCCCCCATCCCCCTCCCCCTCCCTGACTGGCAGGCGCGTCGCCACCCCCAAGACCCAAGGCGGCAGCACCGCCTGCAGCAGCAGCTCTTGCAAGGTGGCAGGGACGGAGAGAAGCGGCGGGCAGCGGCGTTGGTCGGCAGCTGCCCTCTCCATCCACGCACAGCTAAGTACCCACCTCCCTCCCTCCTCGCCCTGCATCCACCCCGCGTTCCGTTCCGACTCACTCCCCCACGCGTCGCCTCCACCGCCCCCATCCCCGCCCTCATCCCCAGCGGCACTGCGGCACACCCAAGCGCCCCCTCCCCTAGTAGCAGGTTCAGCCTCCTGTGTAGAAGGTATAGACGGTATGGGGCGATGGGCGTGCCACGTGCTGCAAGGGGGCAAGGCGCCCGCTTTCATCCATGCATCCACCCTCTCGCATGCACGAATATTTTCTCCACTCCGCCATTCCCCAGCTGTATTCTCTCCCTCACTCACTCCCTCCCTCAGTCGCTGTCTCTGCCCCTCCTTGCTCCCAGCAGCCGAGAGGCGGAGGCTGCGTCTATCAGGCGAGGAGGAGGAGGAGGGCAGCAGCAGTGCTTCACGTGGCACGCCCACGCCCATGGCACAACGCCCTTCTACTTCCCGGCTAAGTATTCACTCCTCGTTACACCTTGCCTTCATTTCTGCTAACTGTCTTCATTCTGCTTTATTTATTTTTCAATTTCCTTCTCTACTCAAATCTCGCCACTGGTTGGGCCCGGCTCACAAGCCACAGACCCTCTTACTCCAGGTTATCCCCTCAGGTTCAGCCCCCCTAAGCCTACAGCCCCTCAGGTTCCCTTGGGGGTCTGTGGCTTGTGGCTGTGGCGCTTCCAATGGCGCCTCCCCTCTCTCGCCTTGCCATCTTGTTTTCCGTTTCTCTTGCTCTCCCCTCGTGATGCACTGACCAGCTCTGCCTCTGTGCATTGCAGGTGGAGGGGAGAGGCGTGGCGGTCAACACCGACACTCCCCCACCCACGCCCCTCCCCTGTGGCCGTGCAGGCATGCAGCACACGGGGAGGCATGGAGCAAGGGGCTTCAAGGGAGGCCACTGGGGTGGGCGTGGCGTCTCCAGGCAGGCGTGGAGGAGGTCTTCAGATGTCCAGCTAAGTACTTTCTCCTCCCTGGACCTTGTCTTTCGTGCTGCTTGCTCAGGGTTCTGCTTGTTCGCATGTGCTTTTATGCTTTCTTTCTCCCTCCAAATCTCGCCACTGGTTGGGCCCGGCTCACAAGCTGCAGACCCCCTTTACTCCAGGTAAACCCCTCAGGTTCAGCCCCCCTAAGCCTACAGCCCCCTCAGGTTCCCTTGGGGATCTGTGGCTTGTGGCTGTGGCTCCTCCAGTGGCGCCTCCCTCTCTCGCCTTGCAGTTTTCTTCTTGTAGTCTCGGTTGTACATCCACCCTTGACCCCCCTCGCTGCCCACTGACCAGCGCTGCTTGTGTGCGTTGCAGGTGGAGGGGAGGGGCGAGGGGGTCAACACCAACGCTCCCCCACGCCCCTCCCCTGTGGCCGTGCAGGCATGCACACGGGGAGGCATGGAGCAACGGCTCGAAGGGAGACCATTGGGGTGGGCGTGGCGTCTCAACCAAGGCGTGGAGGCAGTCCGCCATGAGGGCTTCAGCTTTCCAGCTAAGTACTCGCCCCCGCGCTTGGACAGCTTATTGTGCTGCTTGCTCATGCTTCTGCTTGATTTGTTCGCATGTGCTTTAATGCTTTCTCCCTTCAAATCTCGCCACTGGTGGTGGGGCCCGGCTCACAAGTCACAGACCCCCCTTACTCCAGGTAAACCCCTCAGGTTCAGCCCCCCTAAGCCTACAACCCCCTCAGGTTCGCTTGGGGGTCTGTGGCTTGTGGCTGTGCGCCCTCCAGTGGCGCCTCCCCTCTTGCCTTGCAGTCTTGTTTTTCCAGTCTCACTTGTACGTCCACCTTTGATCCCCTCGCTGCCCACTGATTAGCTGTGCTCGTGCCCATTGCAGGTGGAGGGGAGGGGCGTGGGGTCACCACCGACGCTCCCCCACGCCCCTCACCTGTGACCGTGCAGGCATGCATACGGGGAGGGGAGGCAGCCGTGTGGATGGGAGGAGGGCAGCACTGCAGCAGATGGGATCGGTGCTGCGAGGGAGAGTATGGGCACGGGGCTTGGCCTCTCAAGGTGCGTTACTTGCCTTTCTTGTTTCTCTCACCTTCAGTCCGTCTCCCTTCAGTCGTCTCTGATTCTCTCGCCAGTCCCACACCTCTCGACTCACCAATGCCCCCTGCCCCTCCACCCTGTCTCCCCCACCCCCACCCTGCCCCCCACCAGGCCACGTAGCATCCAGTGAAGACTGCAGCAGAGCAGCTGAGCAGCAGACCGCCAGCAGCAGTGGCAGCAGCAGAAGCGGCGACCACAGCAGCAGCAGTGGCAGCAGTGGGGCTGGGGGGCTAGAGGGCAGGCTAGGCTAGGTCTAGGTGTGAGCGAGGTATGGTAAAGGTGAGGTATGGTAAAGGTGAGGTGTGGTACCAGGTGAGGTGATCTGACTGACCCCCTCCTCTCTCTTTCATCCCCCCCCCCACCCCGCTGCAGCCTGAGGATGGGAGCACTGGAGCACTGGAGCAAGGGCTGGAGGGTGGAGCCCACCCTCTCACTCACCTCCCCCCCTCTCTCTCTTCCCTTCCCTCCCAGCAGCACCACGCCTTGAGCACAGTGGATTACCCCCCTCGTCTAATCCCCCCCCCCCACTTCCCAGCAGCATCTGGCATCATGGTGCTCTGCATGGCTGGGGTAGGTAGAGGTAAGCACGTATGGGGGTGAAGGGAGGGGGGTGGGTGGGTGGGGAGCATGGGAGCAAGCGTTCAGCTGACTGCCTTAGGGGGCAGCACCTTCGGTGGTTGTGGCTTGTGGGTGGGGTGTGGTTGGTGGAATCTGCGTGGCGGCGGCACTCGGTGCTCAAGTAACCGATCTGACGTTTAAGGCTTAATGGACACCGTCAGAGTCGGCCGGCCGGCGGCTCTGGTTCGCGTCAGCTCTAGCCACGTCAGGGGTGGGATTTGAGTCTTGGGCCACGTCATCCTCTTCCACCGCCACACCTCGCCCCTCAAGGCGCACCTGCTGGGGGTGCTGCTTCGGACAGGCAGTGGGCTGTCTGCTGCTCCTACTGCTGAAGGGGTGGGGGGGAGAGGCAATTTGGGCTGGGAAGTGGTTGGGGTTGGCAAGGGGGAGGCCTTGGTGTGGCATGGTATGTCTGATATGGTAGTGTGCTATGCCATGGTGGTGTGCCATAGTGTGCTATGCCATGGTGGTGTGCCATAGTGTGCTATGCTCATGGTGGTGTGCCATAGTGTGCTATGCCATGGTGGTGTGCCATAGTGTGCTATGCCATGGTGGTGTGCCATACTGTGCTATGCCATGGTGGTACGCCATAGTGCGCCATGCCATGGCGGTATGCCATAGTGTGGTATGCCATGGTGGTATGCCATAGTGTGCTATGCCATAGTGTGGTGTGCCATAGTGTGGTGTGCCATAGTGTGGTATGCCATAGTGTGGCATGCCATGGTGTGGCATGTCATTGTGTGATGTCACACTGTGGCTTGCCATAGTGTCGCATGCCATCGTGTGTCATATCATGGTGTGGCATGTTATGGTGTGGTATGCCTTAGTGTTGTATGCCTTAGTGTGGTATGCCATAGTGTGGTATTCCATACTGTGGTATGTCATACTGTGTTGTGGTATGCCATGGTGTGGTATGTCACAGTCTGGTATGTCACAGTCTGGTATGTCATAGTGTGGTATGTCATAGTGTGGTATGCCATAGTGTGGTATGCCATAGTGTGGTATGCCATACTGTGCTATGCCATGGTGGTATGCCATAGTGTGCTATGCCATAGTGTGGTGTGCCATAGTGTGGTATTCCATAGTGTGGTATGCCATAGTGTGGTATGCCATAGTGTGGTATGCCGTTGTGTGGTATGCCATAGTGTGGTATGCCATAGTATGGCGTGGCATGGTATGTCTGGTATGCAGCCATGGTGGCATGCCATGGTGTGGTTGTGTGATGGCAATGTGTTCGCATGGTGTGGCATGTCACACTGTGACTTGCCATAGTGTCGCATGCAATCGTGTGTCATATCATGGTGTGGCATGCCAGTGGTATGCGATGGTGTGGTGTAACATAGTGTGGCATGTCATAATGTGGTATGTCATGGTGTGGCATGCCATCATGCCATGTGCAGGTTGACAGCAGCTGGAGGGAAGTGGAGGCACATGGAAGGCAAGGAAGGCTGCAGGGGAAGGGAGAAGCAAGCGGGTGGCGTGCGACAAGCATGGCAGTTTCACGCTGCCATGGCATGCCACTTGATTCGCTCTTCATATAGTTCGTGATTATCGCACTCTATTGTAGTGTGCTGTGATCTCATAGGATAATTATCTCATATATGCCCTGTAATTATCGTATCAATGAGGCCCCTCGTCATGTTGAGGCACCAAGGGCCCTCTGTGCAGTGCTGATCTTTTGACTCTGTGTGCACCCTTCTGGGCTGGGTAGGGAAGAGACCCTAAACTGGCAGAGCTCGGTACGAAGTTTTCACCAAAACAAATCTTTAGATAAGGCCAGAATGTCAAATATATGTATAACTCATATTTGTATAGACTGTATAGGGTCACCTCTTAGAGGGTACAACACTCTTAGGTATATACCCTTGTTCTCTCCCTCTATGCAATTATTCAGTTTTCTTTTTGATATGGTATCACCCGTAGGTTCGACCCCCCCCCCCCCCCCCACCTACCGCTTCCGCCCGTTCCTCCTAGGCCCCGTCGCGCTTTCCCCTAGGCCCCGTCGCGCCGCCCCCACCTAGGCCCCGTAGCGCCCCTCCTGGGCCCCTATCGCGCCTCCTAGCCCGTCGCGCCCCTCCTGGGCCCCTGCCGCGCCTCCCAGCCCGTCGCGCCCCTCCTTGGCCCCTATTGCGCCTCCTAGCCCGTCGCGCCCCTCCTGGGCCCCACTCGCGCCTCCTAGCCCGTCGCGCCCCTCCTGGGCCCCTGTCGCGCCTCCTAGCCCGTCGCGCCCCTCCTGGGCCCCTGCCGCGCCTCCTAGCCCGTCGCGCCCCTCCTGGGCCCCTATTGAGCCTCCTAGCCCGTCGCGCCCCTCCTGGGCCCCACTCGCGCCTCCTAGCCCGTCGCGCCCCTCCTGGGCCCCTGTCGCGCCTCCTAGCCCGTCGCGCCCCTCCTGGGCCCCTGCCGCGCCTCCTAGCCCGTCGCGCCCCTCCTGGGCCCCTATTGCGCCTCCTAGCCCGTCGCGCCCCTCCTGGGCCCCACTCGCGCCTCCTAGCCAGTCGCGCCCCTCCTGGGCCCCTGGCGCGCCACCTAGCCCGTCACGCCCCTCCTGGGCCCCTCTCGCGCCTCCTAGCCCGTCCCGCCCCTCCTGGGCCCCTGTCGCGCCTCCTAGCCCGTCGCGCCCCTCCTGGGCCCCTGCCGCGCTGCCTGGGCCCACCGCACCTGCCCGGCCCTGCCGCGCCTCCTGGCCCCGCCGCCCCTGACTGGCCCGCCGCACCTGTCAGGCCCTGCCGCGCCTGCCTGGCCCCGCCGCACCTGCTTGGCCCCGCCGCGCCTTCTGGCCCCGCCGCGCCTGCCTGGCCCTGCCGTGCCTCCTGGCCCCGACGCCCCTGACTGGCCCGCCGCGCCTGCCTGGCCCTGCCGCGCCTGCCTGGCCCCGCCACGCCGTCTGGCCCCGCCGCGCCTGCCTGGCCCTGCCGCACTGCCTGGCCCCGCCGCACCTGCCTGGCCCCGCCGCGCCTTCTGGCCCCGTCGCGCCTGCCTGGCCCCGCCGCACTGCCTGGCCCCGCCGCGCCTGCCTGGCCCTGCCGCGCCTCCTGGCCTCGCCGCCCCTGGCTGGCCCGCCGCGCCTGCCTGGCCCTGCTGCGCCTACCTGGCCCCGCCGCGCCTGCCTGGCCCCGCCGCACTGCCTGGCCCCGCCGCGCCTGCCTGGCCCTGCCGTGCCTCCTGGCCCCGCCGCCCCTGACTGGCCCGCCGCGCCTGCCTGACCCTGCCGTGCCTGCCTGGCCCCACCGTACCTGACTGGCCCTTTCGCCCCGTCTCGTCCTGCTGTGCCGCCTCGGGCTCCGTCTCCTCCGCTCGCCCGTGCTGAGGCGCTTCGTGGCCACTGTGCTGGAGGGGGCTGTAGCTGAGTTCCTGCGGAGCTGTGCCGCTGACCCTGCACGATGGCGGACTTCGTGCTCCGACTGGACGCCGAGGGCCATGCGGTTGACTTCGCCGCCTGGCTCTCCGATCTCCGCCGCCACCTCACAGGTTAGCGTCAGGATGGCCACTCTTTGGTTGTCCATATTGACGGCTTGCTCCCCCGCCCCCCTGTACCTGCCCCCCTCCCTGCTGATCCCTCCTCTGATGACCGTGAGACCTTCTCTACTGCTGCGCTTGCCCGTGCGGTCTGGGACTCCCGCGATGCAGTCGCTCAGGTCGCCATTAGCCATGCCCTTCCTGTCTCTGAGCGCTCGCGTTTTGCTACTATTGAGACGGCCAAAGCTTACTTAGACGATGTTATTGCCCGCTATTCCACACCCGTGTCTGCTTCTGCTGGTCGCCTGCTCTTCCCTATGCTTTTCCCAGACCTTGCAGCTTTCCCTACCGTCGCAGACTTTGCCACTCACCTGCGTGCTCTAGAGACCCGCTATCGCACTGCCAGCACAGCTGCCCAGCTCACTGCGCTCCCCCCCCCTTTCTGCATGACGCTCTATTTTATTGCCATGCGCTTGCCAGACCACCTCGCTAGTGCTCGCGATCACTTCCTTAGCCTGCACCCGGCTGACCTCACTCTCACTGCCTTTGTCGACACCCTCATCGAGATCGAGACTCGCCAGCGCACTATCGCTCAGTCGAGCGGTGCACCGGCAGTCTCTATCTTTCACGGCTGTGCCCCCTCCCAGTGCACGTTCACTGACGTTTCGGCTGCGGTCGCCATGGCGACCCCTCTCACCGAGACGGCTGCTGCGGTCCACCTGCAGCAGCGCTCGCGCCACGGTGGCCGTGGTCGCCAGGGTGGTAGGGGTGGTGGTGCAGGTAGTGGTGCTGGTGGTCATGAGAGTAGTCCGTCTGGGGGGACTAGCATTGGTGGTCAGGAGCAGCAGCCCCAGCCGCAGCAGGAGCAGCCCGCGCCGCAGCCGCCGTCCCAGCCGCAGCCCCCGCAGCAGTGGGCTCGCCTCCCGCCTGGTTGGCCCGGCTCCTCAGGGGGTGGTGGCAGTGGTGGCGGCCCGCGCAGCTTGGCGTCTACCAGCGGCTCCGGTGCTGTCACCTGTCAGTACCAGCTTCAGACCGGGCCCCTTCGCGGCACTCTGTGCCGCCGCCCGCACCCGACTGCCCGCTGTTTCCGCCGCCTCGACGATCTGTTTCGTCGTCGCTTTGGCCCGGCCCCGGACCTCCCACACTGGCACAGCCTGCTCCGCCAGGGCGTGCCGATCTTTGAGTTAGACATGGATCAGATAGGTGCTGCTTTGCATGCCATGTATTCTGACGCTGCTAGTGTTGCTGGATCTTATTATCCTATGTTCTCTAGTTTAGGTGTTGCACCGTTGTGTAGCCTAGCCTCCCGTGCTGCATCAGGCGTAGGACTGCCTAGTTTGTCTAGCCTCGTCTCTGCACCGGCTCCGTTCCCCGCCCCTGCCACTGCTGCGCTGTCCTTCACTCTTGACTCCGGTGCTTCTGCCTGCTTCTTCCGCGACCGTTCCGCACTTACGCCGCTTGCTACGCCAGCTGTCGTCTCTCTCGCCGACCCCTCTGCGGGTCCTGTCATCGCTCGCAGTTCTACGTCCCTTCCCTGTCCAGCCGTTCCCTCGGGCTCCCTTACAGGCCTCCACGTTCCCTCATTCTCGAGGAACCTGGTTGGTGTCGGCTGTCTCCAGGACCTCGGCGTCACCACCACGTTCCCCGGGCACGAGCGGTTTGCTGTCTGTTCTGAGGCTGTCTCAGGTTCCCCCCTTGCGACGTTCCCCAGGGACCCGGTGTCCGGTCTGTTTACCCTAGACACCGCCTCCCCTCCGGTTGGTGCGTCCTCCCAGGTTGCTGCAGCTTGCTCGTGTCGTTCCCTCACTCACCCGTCCCTTCTCTGGCACCACCGCTTAGGTCACCCTGCTCTCCCTCGTCTGCGTCACATGTCCCAGCACGGCCTTGTCTTAGGTCTCCCTGTGTCGCTCCCCGCCCTTCCTCCCTCAACTGCGCCACCGTGCACGCCTTGCGTCGAGGGCCGGCTCCGCCGTGCCCCTCACTCCTCCTCGCTGCGCCCGGCTACTGCCCCCCTTCAGACCCTGCACCTGGACGTTTGGGGCCCTGCCACCGTCCCCGGACCGCGCGGTGAGCGCTACTTCCTTGTGCTCGTCGACAACTACACGCGCTACACCACGGTGTTTCCCCTCGAGCGGAAGGCCGACGTGCCCGACGTTCTTCTCCCGTGGGTTGTGGCTGCGCGTCTCCACCGCGGTCTCCCCGTGTTGTGTCTCCACTCCGACCATGGCGGCGAGTTCGCCTCTGGTCGGCTTGGACAGTTCTGTCGTCCGGAGGGCATCACCCAGTCGTACACCTTGCCGGACTCGCCACAGCAGAATGGGGTTGCTGAGCGCCGCATCGGCTTGGTCATGGAGGTCGCCCGCACCTCCATGATTCATGCCGATGCCCCCCATTTTCTGTGGCCGTTCGCTGTTCGCTACGCTGCTCACCAGCTTAACCTGTGGCCACGCTCCCAGCGGCCGCAGGTTTCGCCGATCCTTCTTTAAACCGGGTCCCCCGGTGACGTGTCTGCGTTCCACGTCTGGGGCTGCCTTGCTCACGTTCGTGCCTCTGGCACGGACAAGCTCACTGCCCGCACTGTCCCCTGTGTCTTCCTCGGTTTCCCCCTGGACTCGTCTGACTGGCTTTTCTATCACCCGCCGTCTCACCGCTTCCTCCACTCTCGTGACGTTACCTTTGACGAGTCCGTCTCCTTTTACCGCCGCTTCCCTCACCGAGGTCTCCCAGTTGCCCCCCCCCTGTTCCTTGCTCCCTCTCCCCCGGTAGCCCCTGCCCCTCTCCCGCCTCCTCCTGCCCCGTCTGGTGTCTCTCACGTCACTCCCCTCCCGTCGGTTGTCCCCGTTGAGGAGTCTGCTGACTCTGGTGGTACCCCCGGTCGGTCCTTGCCGCGTCCCCCTTCCCCGGTGCCTCCGCCCCCACTGTCGCAGCCGCCGTCGCCGCCGCAGCCGTCGCCGCTGTCGCCGCCGCAGTCGTCGCCGCCACTGCCGCCGCCGCTCTTGGCTTCTGGGGGTGCCGCTGGTGTTGGAGGGGGTTCTCGCTCTGGGGGTGTTGGTTCTGGGGGTGCTGCTGTTGAGTGTTCTGCCGACGGTCGTTCTGCCTCTGCTGGTCCGAGAGTTCCGGCCCAGCCGTCGTCGCCGCCGCAGCAGCCGTCGCCGCCGGTCTCCGCTCTCCGCCTACTCGGCCTTCCCTCCCCGGACCGCGTGCTGGTGTCTCCCCCACCGCCCGCTGAC